CCGGTGTAGATTGGAAAACCATCCCTCATTGAATCCTATGGACCATGGATGGCAGTCATTCTCGGCCCATGACGACCAATTGGTGCAATTTGAAAAGCAATGGTAAGTCGCCGGTCATCTACAGTTGAGCACAGAAAACAAAACTCATATCTATTTGTTGTTTTCTCTGCTGCACTGCGGACGGCCGATGAATTACCATTGTCGAGTCCTTTTCGAACGATCGATTGATCCGGATACCGGTGGTAACAAGAGAGGAAGAGGCTACCGCTACGGAGGAGGAGGCTCTGTTAACTCCAGCCCTACAACAGCCTGAATGGAGGAGATCGTCGTCTAGTCATTGAAGGCAACAAGAGGAGGACGGCACGAGGTGGAGCACAAGGAGGCTACGACAACAGAGTGGATCTCCTACCGGATTCATCCCTCCTTGTTATTTCCTAGTTTGTTGGTGATGATTCCTGTGTCGGCACCCATTTTCCTGTATGCAAAGTAGTTGTCGAGGATTTGGCCAAGTCTTCGAGCGACTTGCCTCTTCGTACGATAAGATAGATGTAACTAGACTAGAACAATGGCTGGATTGACAATATTCGGTTGTGCATGTATTCGTCATAAGGATCCAATGCAAGGTATCGGTAACGAAGTGTAGCCAGTGAGCGGAACCTGAGTGTGTTCGGTACTGTTGCCACTGTCACCGATTGATGTAACTCTACGTAACTGGCTACAATGGCTGGATGACAATATTCGGTTGTGCATGTATTCGTAATAAGGATCCAATGCGAGGTACCGGTAACCGTAGCGAGCAAAGCCGAACTTTCGGTACTGTTGCCACTGTCGTCGATGTAGCTAGACCGCAGCCGGCTACAATGGCTGGATTCATAATGTTCGGTTGTGCATGTATTCGTCATAAGATCCAATGCAAGATACCGTAGCCAGCGCAAGCGGAACCTGAGTGTTTCGGTACTGTTGACACTGTCACCGATTGATGTAACTCTACGGTAACTGGCTACAATGGCTGGATTGACAATATTCGGTTTGTGCATGTGTTCGTCATAAGGATCCAATGCAAGGTAGTGGTAACAAAGTGTAGCGAGCAAAGCCGAACTTTCGGTTACTGTTGCCACTAGCTATATGGCAGCTGGCTGCGATGACTGGATTGAGAATATTCGGTTGTTCGTGTATTTGTCATAAGGATCCAATGCGAGGTAACCGTAGCGAGCAAAGCCGAACCTGAGTGTGTTCGTTACTGTTGCCACTGTCATGGATCGATGAACTCTACGGTATTTGGCTACGATGGCTGGATTGACAATGTTCGGTTGTGCATGTATTCGTCATAAGGATCCAATGCAAGGTACCGGCAACGGAGTGTAGCCATTAAAGCGGAACCTGAGTGTGTTCGGTACTGTTGCCACTGTCACTGATCGATGTAACTCTCTGCCTACGGTACCGTAGCTGGCTACAATGGCTGGATTGGGATCCAAGTAGCCAGCAAACTGAGGAAACAGGAGACGAAAGCTGAAAAAAAGCCGAATTGATTGACAGGCCTGCTGTTTTCTAGGTGACACTTTCTTCGACTATTGGGGTTAGGGCTATTAAAAGATACGAGAACCGGTACCAGTGGGGGTTCCGGTACCAGTATATCCAAGCCAAGCAGACATCAACAAATGACTGCTCGCATCTTTCTCACCTAGCTAGCTGGACGTCCTAATCATCACAATTTTCGGATGGAATATTTGGTGATAGACAAAAAGAGCTTGTTGTTGGTATCCTCATTATATTTGTAACAAAAACTTGTTTGACCATGCCAATGTCAACTTCCTCAATTGACGGTGCTCGCAATAATAAGGCGGATCCGCCACCCATGAATCCCCGCAAGCAATCGGCTGCCGTTGGTCCTCCTGCCGTCAATCCGAACAAACAAGATCCTACAGGACAAGTCAAGAAATCGAATGCCAGCGTGGTTGCTAGTGGTGGTGCTAGCACTGTGGCGGCAAGCAATGCCAACAACAGTGCAGCTCCTACCGGTGGTTGGTGGGAAAAGCCAGGAGCTCACACTTCCACTGGTTCTCGTAACAAAAGTACCCAACCCAAGAATAATGCTACCCAAACCACGCCTAAAAAGACTGCTGCCAAAGCTACCCAAGCACCCAAGAATACTACTACTACTACTATTACAACCAATACTATTACGACTACTACAAAGGCTCCTCCCGCCAGAACTTCTTCTACCTCGATGAGTTTGGCCCGACGCTCCACGGATGGCCAAGCCCGTATGGGGTTGCAGGGAGATCCCGCGCAACACGAAGATTTCCTGAAACAACGACGCCAATTGGAAGAACAAGCCGCACTGGTCCAAGAATCATCAGCTACTACAGATCCCAACTCGATTGAATCCTTGGAAGAAACCGCACGCGCCACGGCACAACAAGCCAATTGCAATCCACTCTGGGTGACCACGGTCAATTTTGTGGCAGCCGCCAAAGTCTTTGTCTTTCATCTCGTCACGGTCGATACCATTCTCTGTAATATCGCCACGGTACTCATGACCTATTATTGGTGGGAAGCCAAGGCTGAATATCAACCCCATTGGAATGGATCCATGCATTTCATTCTGGTGTCGTTTGCCGTGGCATCGCCCATTACCGTCGCCCTTCGCATGGCATTTGATCGACGCGAAAAGGCACTGCTGTGCATTGCCAATGTCCGTTCCTTTTGTCTCCACATTTACATGGCCCATGCGCTCTGGGATTGGAAGGGACCCGATGGTCGCGCCAATGCTGCCAGTGAATTTGATTTTGTCCAGCACGGCGATCAAGTCCTCTGGCATCTCATTGGCATGGGCGATGAAATGACACGATTCTTGACACTCCCGACATTTAGCAAACCCCGTCATCGGGTCTTGTGGACGGGACGACGGGAAGCCACACAATCCATCCGCGTGGCGTATCAGTTACTCGATAGTGTCCTCTTGCAACACATGACGCGATTGACCGTCTTGGCGGAAAAACTCAAATCGATTGGATTGAGTGGATCGGAAATTTCAAGGGTGCGGCAGTACGAACGTCATCTCAGCAATCAACTCGAACAATTGCGCATGTACAAGGTCTATCGAACACCACAGGCATTGTGGGCGTTTGGACGCATCTTTACACTGTTGCTGCCACCCTTTTATGCTCCTGCATTTGCCAAAATGGGACAAGAATTGGGACACTTGTGGTTGGGAATGCTCTTTGGATGTATTACGGCGACGTGTCTCTCGACCTTATTTGAAAGTGTGCAAGTGCTGGAAGATCCTTTCACGGCCTTTGTGACGTTGGACGGCATTGATGTCTCGGAAGAATTGGAAGTCTTGCAGTGGACGCAACTCGTGACGGCGCGAAAATTGTTGTTCCCACAAGCTCCGGAATACCCTCTCCGAACACGGGCTGCCATGCGCCATGGAGGCTACGATCCGACGGTGCATTACCACGCCACACCGGCATTACGAGCCCAGTTGTTGCAGCAAGAACAACAACAACAACAGCAAAAGGGCGCAACCAAGAAAACCGATACGACGGATCCCTTTCGAGCAGAAGAGGAGGACGACGTAGAAACGGGCACGACCAAGTCCAGAGGAGACGCCATGAAGAAAATCAGGTCACGGAGGCAAAGTCACTTTGCCGCATTGTAACAATGGTGTGTTGTGTTGACGGTTGGCGTTGCCTGATTATGCATCAGTTTTCAGCCTTCAAAGCTTCCTTCCTTCGAGTAGGGCTCGACCAACAAGAGTCTCAGATAGATCCTTTGTGTTGCCAACAAAGGGGTCTTTCCGGACTTGTGTATAGCTAGTTTTCATTGGAATAGTCCATGCACTTCATTTTAGTTTTTTTGCCATCGGATATTCACTAGTTCTGTCGCCCTCAGCATGGCAGTTGATCAACGGGAAAAGTAATGCCAATGCAGCCTTTGCATGGGGTTGCCAAAGTCACCGCTGTCCATCACAGACGGAATACCGGTATATGCGGCAACTACTGCTTGATTCGATATCATTCTAGCTCGATTCGATTCGATTCTATTTGATTTGGAGGAGGACTGTTGCAAGATCACTGCACGCATAGCAGAATCAAGGGCAAAACAGATACACCGCTGGCCCTCCGCCATCCAAGCTTTCAACCACAACCCGTTGAGCAAACCTATATCTCCTGCATCGTCGCACTGGGAAAAACCCAACCGTAACGATGGAGCAATGGAAAAGCTAGCGTGCTAAAATTCTTTCCTTTTTCCAGCTTTCGGTCGCCGTGCCAAACTAGTTTTTCCAAAAATCATTGTCTTCAACGTTAGATCTCGGTACGATAACTAATGAGTGTGATAGGAGGGCCCTTTTTTAAAATTTCGATGTGATGTTGCAGTTTCTGTCTTTTTCCCTCTATGGTTTTGTTGTATTGTTTGGGTTCCCTCACCGTCCTAATAATTGTCCGCCTGCCCTGGCTCCCTTCTCTTTTTATTCCTTTGCCTTTTTGGCCTCGGGTTCCTCTTGCTTCTTTTTGTCATCCTCCTCCAGAGGATGCTTGTTGTTGCTGCTGCAGCAGTCTCCCGCGTCCGCTTGTTTCTTTTCTTCATTTTCCTCCGCCGGCTCCACGGGAGCAAAGAGCTGGGTCTCCAGGTCTTCCTTTTTGGTTCCATTTGAACAATCATTCATGTAAACTTCATAATGAGGACATTCCCGGGAACCCTTGCAGGGGCGCAACTTTTGGGATGGAATCCATTTCATGCACAACTGCCCCCACGATTTGGGCAATCCTTCGTATCCACCACGATGCATCGAAGTGGCACAGCGACGTCCCTCCACCACAATTTCTTCCAACCCCTCGGGCACCTTGGATTCCACAGAGTCCGGAATGAGCATGGCGGCCGCCCACACCAAATCTTCCTTGTTTTTGGTATTGGGGACATCACAGAGCACCAACATGGCCGTGCGAATCTTATTGTCATCATCATCAGCAAAGACCTTCTTTTGGAGTTCCCCAAGCTTTTTAAAGGCAGCACCACAGCCATCAAAGGGACCCTTGCCAATGATTCCCCAAAACTTTTTGGTCTCTGTCTCGATGAGCTTCGGTTCGTCGTCGTTGGTGGTCGTCATGGTTTCCAATTGCTATACAAGTACCACTGTAGTAGTTGAGTTGAGTCGAGATGATGGTGGTGTCCTGGCCTCTTTGTGGTCCACAATAATGCGAAGCCGTCCAGTAATCGGATCTTTTTGGCACATCTTTTTGGCTTTCGTCTTGTCGCCCCCTTTTTCATGCCACCAGGACTGGATTCTTCCAGTCACAAAGATACGTGTTAGAGGTAGGGTTCTGCTGCCTGTCGTGAATAATCCAGTCTTCGATCCAAATCGAGTTCCTGACCTGATCTCGTCCATCGTTTCTTTGGCCCCCGTTCTGTAATAGTCGAGAGAGAGTCCATTGTTTGCTGTCGCGAAAGCAAAAAAGAAAGGCACAAAACACACAAACATAGGAGAGCCACCAACGGCGTTTGACTCGAGGAACATGGACTTGAACGCATCTTCCAGCCATGATGATAAACCAAATAATGAGGACGACCATGGCAGAGCTGAATCCAGCATGCCGCACACGCGCGATGATACCACGACTGGCGGTACCACTGCTACCGGATCCTGTACAAATCCCACTGCTGCCCATTCTACCAGGGTGGGTGAACGGTTTGACAGGCCCATGACAGCAGAGGAAAAGGCTCATGGAGAAGCTATATTAAGATTGACGGGAACGGCTGCTTTAGTATTGCATTCTGATGGCAGCCAGTCGATAGCATCTGAGTGGACAGACGATGATGCCATTGACGAAGCCGGAAACGTTGATTCGGCAGTGGCTGCTCTCACTGCCATGGCTGCCCGGTTCAGCAACACCCAAAGCAGTGGTCGGCTGTTGTTCCACCCCAAAGAAAATGCAAAATCAAAGGCAGTCGAAAAAGATTGCACTGTTGGCGGTGCACGCAACACTGGACGCCATAGTACAGCCCGAATGTCATTCCTCCCAAAATCGAATGCGTCCAGATACAGTAGTCTCCCTTTCCAACCTGACCAAAACCAGCTGCATGTGGCAGTGATTGGTGGAGGGGAGCCTCAAGCCGCTCAAAACAACAATAGTCGACGAGCTCGAAATAACAATAGGCGTGTTCCCTTGTCGCAGCCCGGGGCATTTGCAGCGGGGACATCCTACCCTGCTCGCAGTGACGTGCCTCTGCATGATCCAACAGATCCTTTGCCAGAACAACCACAATTGGCAGTGGCCAATGCCATTGAAGATGACGCAACAGATTTGATGCATGCCAATCCTATTGATCTACAAGGCGGCCAACAGTGGCGACAGCAAGAACGCAGAAAGATTCGACGATACTTTGTTGCATCACTCCTTTGGCTGTGTCTTGTTGGTGCCGTTATCATGGGATTTGTGGTTGGATCACAAAGGAACAAGGAGCCAGAGGTAGTTGTCTTGGCATCAACCGGCATGCCAACTATCTATGGCTCCATGACTCCTTCTCAAGTGCCATCCACTGCCCCCACTGGAGTTCTTGATGGGCTTTTGGAGAGTCTACCTGAGTACACCACTGCTAGCATGAACAATGGCAGTGACACTCCTCAGTGGAAAGCATGGCAATGGCTTGCTTACCACCAGAACATTACATTTCTTCCCGAATGGAGGAAGGAACAGTTGTTTGCTCTGGCCACCTTCTTCTACGCCTTTGGGGGAGAGAACTGGAACCCTTTCATCCAGGAGCGATGGATGGATGATGCAAAGGAAGAGTGTCAATGGTTCTCCAGTGGATTTGGTTTCTTGGGGCTGGACGGAGAATATGTCGAACTTCAAGACTACGGCATCGAACCCACCTTCCCATGTGACAGCCATGGCAAGTTTACATCCCTTTTTCTGGAAGATCAAGATCTTTCTGGTCTCTCCCCATTTATTCCACCAGAGATTGCACTGTTGACCTCCTTGTCTATTCTTCAGTTGGGTGTCAATGGTATTGCTGGACCAATTTTATCATTTCTGCCAACCCAACTCTACAGGATGACTAGTTTGACTATTATTAGCCTCTGGGATAATCTGGAATTGACTGGAAACATTCCTTCAGAGCTAGGGTTGTTGACTGACTTGACTGTGCTGGGATTGACAGCAACAAAGTTGACTGGCACCATCCCGGAGGAACTCTGTTTTGTCCCAGATCTGCAGTTTGACTGTACCCCAGATTTGTGTGGGTGTTATTGTGGCTGTTGGCCTGGACAATTCCCAACCACGGCTGCTGCTGTCATGGTCAATATCCGAACTGATCAGAATCCATGGCACAACACCTGGGCTTGGCAGCAAGAAAGCAACACAACAGCCTATGCATGGGACACATGGGAGTCAGGTGGTCCGCTGGAATTTCAAAGTCATCTTTACTCTTCTCTTTTTACAGTCAATCCCAACACCAGCTACAGGCTGGTGGTATCTGACATTGCCCGCAATGGCCTTTCCAGTGGGGGTATTGGCTTTGAATATGGGTGGATCACTCTGACGGCAGCCAATGCTGTGTTGTATTCACATCTGGGTTCGCACACCTCAGGTTTCTCTGACCTCACCATTGACATTTTGGTTGGAGCAGATGGTTCATTTGACACATCAACCCCCCCTGGTTGGCCTGGTCGGTTTCCAAGCATGGTTGCTTCTGTCCTGCTCAATATCGAAACAGATGGATTTCCCAGTAACACTTCATGGGTTTGGAAGCAACAAGCAGAATTGACAGCTGATATGTGGGACTCTGTGGAATCGGATGGACCCCTGGCATTTCATCACCATCTGTTTTCTGCTCTCTTCACAGTCAGCCCCAACACTGTCTACAGGCTTGTTGTAAGTGACAGTTCAGGCTTTGGGTTTTTCAGCTCTGGATGGCTCACTCTTACAGCAGCGAATGCAACAATTTTGTATTCGTATGAGTCAAAATTCTCTGAAGTCACCATTGACATTTCCGTTGGATCCAATGGATCTCTTGATATCACGAATACTACTACTATACTATGAATTCCATGGTCTATTCTATAATTCTGGCCCCAGAAACCCTCGTGAAATAATTAATTTAATTGTGCACCCTTTTTCATGCCACCAGGACTGGATTGAATCAAATCGAATTATCTCGTCTCCAAAGAGACGACTAAGAAGGGGTTCGGGGGGCAGGTAGTCCTTTAGGCAGGCGTGCTACTCTATAGACAATTGTATTGAAATTGGATGATGCAAGGACACGGTAGACACCAACGGTCTATGATCCACATAAAAAGACTTAACAAACAGTCACACATTGAAGTTTCCTTGATTTAACGGTTCGATACTGTGTTTCGATTCGATTCATTCGACTCAATTCGTTAGCAAAGACTTTCGGTTTGGGTTGTTCAGGACTTCCTCTGCATGGTCGGGATGCAATAAAGGATAAAATTACAGTGTACCATTGGATCCGTGTACCTTACTGGTAGCTAGCTAGTAGTACCAGTAGTAGTACATGTAACATGTAACGCATACTCCATTCCACTGTCGCTCAGTCATTGGAGTTGAGTACCAGAATGTACAAGAGCAATGCATACAAGCTGATATTGTCCGGAATGTTCGAGGGGGAGGCGAGCCTGCGAGCCGACCCCGAGGCAGCCACCAAGCTGGCTGTCTTTAAGGTACAAGAGCAATGTATACAAGCTTAGATCGTCTATATTGTTCGAGGGGGAGGCGAGCCTACAAGCCGACCCCGAGGCAGCCACCAAGCTGGCTGTCGTTAAGGTACAAGAGCAATGTATAAGCTGAGATCGTCCATAATGTTCGAGGGGGAGGCGAGCCTGCGAGTCGACCCTGAGACAAGCTACCATTTTAAAGGACAAGAGCAATGGATGAACCAGTTATAACTAAACAAATGCTCCTTTTGTTGCCATTGTGCGTGGGGGGGGGAAACTGAACGTCTAATAACGGATTCAGACGAGAGGTGCTTGAGGACGACCCACGAGCCGAGGCCCGGGTATTTCCCACAGTCAAGTTGTGCGTGGAGACGACCTAGAAGGCTGTTAATCCAATCATTAGTCACAAAGATGGAAAACAAATACTAAATAGATACGTTAAGGAGCGAGGGGGCTAGCTAGGCAGAGCAGTGGCTGCGGTGATGGGCGTACGGGGAGAGCAATGAGGACGGAAGCAGGGCAATAGGGGGGGCAGGGGAAGAGGGTGCTTGGAGGAAAGCGAGGAAGTAGGGGGGAAGGCAAGAGGGGGAAGGGGGCAAATTAGATGCATGTTATTAGAGGTACCGGTAGTGGCTCGGTATTTTAGGGTTCTGTTTTCCTATTAGCTACACATCGTAGCTAGCTAATACTCAGTTCCCTCTCAGCCATGTCTGGTAGTAACGCATACATAAGCAGCTACATAAACTGACATATGGGGGGTGATGTGCGGACAGCTTATATGCGGGCCTGCAAAATTGCACGAATGATTTCAATGAATCCAACACGAATGATGAACATCGATTCGAGTCTTCCCTCAGCCGGAACCAGACTCGACTCGAACGTCGATCCTTGCTTTCGCTTCCTGCTGGAGTGATTGACAGTCGATTGTGTGGAGGGCTGTGGAGGAAAAGGGAGATATAAAGTTGGTTTGTGAAGCACATACATACGTACCGTAAGAGAGACACCGACAGCACTTGAGGAACATGAACTTGAACACATCTTCCAATGATGGACCAAATGATGAGGAGCATGACAGTGCCGAACCCAGAATCCCAATCTGGCAGGGGCAAGATGGTGCCGCGACTGGTACCACTTTTACAAATCCCACTTCCACACATCCCACGAGTGGTGGTGAAGTGTTCGGAAGGACCCCCCTGACAACTGAGGACAAGGCTCATGGAGAGGAGAAGGCTCATGGAGAAGCCATATTGAAATTGACAGGATCGGCTGCTTTATTGGATATGGATGGCAACCGCAATGCAGCTTCTGAGTGGACAGAAGACGATGATACCACAGCCAACAACGCCATCGACGGAGTCGAAACTGTGGATTCTGCCATGGCTGCCCTCACTGCCACGGCTGCTCGGCTTCGCGATACCCAAAGCAGCGGTCAGTTGTCGTTCTTCCATCCCAAAAAAACAAAGGCTTCAACAAGCGAAAAGGGTTGCAGAGATGGTGAGACGGCCCTGGCAGATCCAAACTATATCACTGATGCAAATAGGGCTCGAATGTCGTTCCTCCCACCAAAACCAAAGGCGTCCAGAAACAATACTGATATCACTTTCCAATCTGACCAAAACCAGCAACACCTTCTGACAGCGATTGGTGAAGAGTCAAAGCCTGGGGCATTTGCAGCAGGGGGTTGGGCGTCCAGCCCTGCTGTCAATGACTTGCCTCTGCGCGATCCAACAGATCCGTTACCACACACTACTAATAATTTGTTGGTCCATGACACAGAACAACACCTGGCAGTGGCAAATGCAGTCGAAGATGTCAGCGCAGCAGATTTGATGCATGCCAATCCTGTTGATCTACACACCGACCGACAGCGACAACAACGACGCAGGAAGATTCAACAATACTTTATTGCAGCAGCATCACTCCTTTGGTTATGTCTTGTTGGTGCCATTATTGTGGGATTTGTGGTTGGAACACAAAGGAACAAGGAACCAGAGGAACTTGTCTTGCCATCCACAACTGACATGCCAACTATCTATGGCTCCATGACTCCTTCTCAAGTGCCATCCACTGCGCCCACTGGAGTTCTCGACGACCTTTTGGAGAGTCTACCTGAATACACCACTGCTAGCATGAACAATGGCAGTGACACTCCTCAGTGGCAAGCATGGCAATGGCTTGCAAACCATCAGAACATTACATTTCTTCCTGAATGGAGGAAGGAGCAGCTGTTTGCTCTGGCCACCTTCTTCTATGCCTTTGGAGGAGAGAATTGGAACCCTATCATCCAGGAGCGATGGATGGATGACACAAAGGAAGAGTGTCAATGGTTCTCCAGTGGATTTGGTTTCTTGGATCTGGATGGCACATATGTCGAACTTCGAGATTTCGGTGTCGAACCTACGTTCCCATGCAACAGCCATGGAAAATTTACATCCCTTTTTCTGGAAGATCAAGACCTTTCTGGTCTCTCCCCATTTATTCCACCAGAGATTGCACTGTTGACCTCCTTGTCTATTCTTCATTTGGGTGTCAATGGTATTGCTGGACCGATTTCATCATTGTTGCCCACTGAACTCTACATGATGACTAGTTTGACTAGTATTAGCCTTTGGGATAATCCGGAATTGACTGGAAACATTCCTTCCGAGCTTGGGTTGTTGACTGATCATTTGACTTGGCTGGGATTGACAGTAACTGGTTTGACCGGCACCATCCCAGAATCGCTCTGTTTTATCCCAGAACTGCAGTTTGACTGTACCCCGGATTTGTGTGGGTGTGACTGTGGCTGTTGGCCAGCTGGAGACTTCCCAACCACAGCCTCTGCTGCTGTTGTCAACAACCGCACTCATGATAAATATCCGGTGGCTCCGTTGGCTAAGGGTGGATCGCTCTGACGACAGCAATTGTCTCTGTGTTTTATTCATATATGGGTTCATGCACCTCCTGTTTCTCTGGGCTTTCACCGTCGACATTTTGGATTTCGGAGGGAGTCAATTGCACTTTTGACATCACAAGAATTCCCCCGGGAAGTGGCATGGTTGCTTCTGTCATGTTCGGCATGATGTGAGGCGGGAGTCCTTACC